GATAGAAGAGAGCCTTTGTCCATGGAAGTAGAGGTCTGTGGCGGTAGCTGGGGACCTTGCATGTCCACTGAAGACTGGGGATGCCTCTCCCGCTGCTGGGACTGTGTGCGGGGAGCAGGACTCGTAGAGCCCCGAGGCTGACCTTCCAATCCTTGAGCTCCTGCTACTGTTGATGACTTTAACCTCCGAGCCCGAGTCTTCCTGTCTGCCACCCGGGGCGGAAAGGCAGCAAGGGCACCCACCTCAGCAGGTGCCTGTCTTCACGTGCGGAAGTGAGACGGGCTGTGTAGGTGCTCCTTGATTGCTGGTGAAATGGTTGCTCGTTGGGCTTCCATCTTTAAGGTCCACAGTTTGAAACCGCCCCCTACTCCTCAGGAGAAGGACGGGGCTTTCTGCCTCCTGTAAATGGTGACCATCTTGGAAACCCACAGGGGCAGTTCCACCCTGTCCTGTAGGGTCGCCAGGTGCCGGCATCGGTTCGATGGCCGTGAGTTCCGTTTCTGTCTGATTCTGCTCGAGGGGCCAGAGGCTACTTACAAGCAGAGTGCTGGACAGAGGCCACATGGGCCCCCGGGAAGTTTGGAGACATTCGCGTTTCCTTTGCGGAGCCTGGGACCAGCTGGGGCTGTCTGGTCTGGCCTTGCTTGGGCTGCTCACCATGGACCCCGGTCCTGGCATGGACTCCGGTTTTGGCGACGTGAGGCCTCACACCGTTTTCTCCCTTTGTCTGCAGCCCATCAACCCTGAGAGTACACAGAAGCATGTAGTAGACACGGTGAGTGACCACAGTGGTGGTGGGCTGGGGACTACAGCATGGCCAAGAGCTGGGAGGTCTGGGCCGTGTTTAGCCGGCGCTCTCTGGGGTAGAACTGGGAAAGTAAGCAGAAATGAGGGACACTTTGAGTCGGACACCTGCCTATCCCAGAGAGCTTGAGGGTGGGTGTGGAGAACTAGGAAGACAGATGAGGGGTGGGGAGCCGAGGGCAGGGGGTGCTGACTGAGCAGAAAGCAGTGGCGGTGTGTGTGGGTGTGTGTGTGTGTTGGGGGGTGGGGCAAGTGGTCTCCTTTATTGAAGGTGAGGTCAGAAAGCAGGTCGGAGCTTTCTAAATGCATCCTTCTGAATTAACAAAGAGAGAGAGAGAGTCCGCAGGCAGGGAAGGAGGTGAGTAGGCGAGTACTGAAGCTTAGCAGCGTCTCCCTGCAGTTGGGAGCTCAGGGTTCCAATCCTGACTCCACCATGAATCTCACTGGGTGACAGCACGCGAGTCCCCAGGCTGCCGCTTCTCATCTGCCTAATGGAGGGGGAGGAAGAATGTCCTCCCACAGGAGGGGTCCCGGGACACAGGAGAAAGAGTCTGGCTCTCTAGCAGGGGCATCTAGTGGACAGAGAGCCTGGGGCCCGCAGATACAGGCTGCTCCCAAGTTTCTCTGCGCCTGTTGGCCCGGAGAGGAACCACGCGGTCCTCTGCTTATTTTCCCTGGTCCCTCTCTGACTGCCTCTTCTCTCTCGGTCCACAGGGAGCAGGAGCCATCCTGGGGGGAAACACAAGGAAGATCCTGGAGGAAGACGTACGTCGGGCTGGAGACGGGGAGGGAGGTGTCAGAGCCTCAGCCTGCCTCGCTCAATGGGCCTTCT